ATGATTCCTTTTTAATGTGCACTCCTCGGGCGTTGGTCATTACTCAAGAAACGAACTTTTCAGGGGATTCTTCGTAGCTTCAGTTGGGACTCTTCGCTTGCCTTTAACTTTTTGCTTTTTGCATTCAACGTATCGATCACACAAAATGTTGCCAATACCACGGGAATCCCGAGAGGAAGAGAAGCTCACAGCTCACACAAAACTCATCATCATCAGTTGGTTCGGTTTATATTTATTCTTCCTCTTCTTCGCCTTTTTCCTCTCGAAAAAAAGGGGCGTGCACAAAATGATATTTTATTCAATATCCTCAACATCACTGGGTTTTCAGTTTTTCTGTTTTTTGCCTCTTTCGTTTTAACGATTTGTCCTTTTCAAGCGAGAAAAAGAAAAACTCGCCGTGTAGGAAATCAAATTGATGGAGAGACACACACATGAGAAACCTGAAATTAAAAACTCATAAGATATCGACTGATATATTGAGCTGCACAAATTACTGACAACTGAAAGATGAAAGAAGCATCAGCGCGCGGGGCTCAACATTCGGAAAGAGAAAAAAAAAAAACCAAATCAAACAAAACAAAGACAAAGACAAAGATTTTGAAGACAGGTTTGCCACATCCTTTCCCCCTTTTTTTTCCGCTCCACAATCGGTTTTTGGTCTGGCTTGGCTTTTTCCTATGTCCCTCTGGTTACTCATACAACCATATACATATATATATGCATATAAAAAGACAATTAGTTGTTATTAAGTTGTACACAAAAGCCGTCGAATCTTTTCTTTAACGCTGATGCCGCTTCTTCATTTTTGGCATCTCGCACAGCTTTTGTGAGATGGTTTTCAGTTCGGTTCGGTCGTCTAGATGCGGAATTAATGATGCAATGACAATTGATGCACACCACGCAAAGCGCATTTAGCATTTATGATATTTATGCTCAATTAGTGTCGCTGTTGCCGTGTGGAGATCTTTTCCCCCGCCCCCCTTGATGCGAGTGTGAAGTTTCAGCTTGATTTGATGGCCGCAAGCTGAGTTACATGAGGTTGGTGGAAAGACAACCGGCTGGCCACCATTTATATGTACTAATTTTGGTGTTTACTACAAATATGCAAAGTTTCAGCTTGATTTAACAGCTGGAACCGGAGTTACAAGAGGTTGATTACAGTGTTTATCACAAATATTAGATTGATTTTATTAGCTATTGCACAGACGAATGAACTTAAATACCAATTTTCATTTTTAAAAAATTAATAAATGACCACAAGCTGACTTTCCTTAGATTAATTTTTTAAAACTTCTCAAACACAATACCCACATACTTTTGAATGCCCAATGTGAAATTTCAATTGATTAAGATGACTGCAAGCTGAGTTACTTGAGGTCATTGCATAGTTGGATGCTTCATTCGATTGAAAATCGGCTAATTACAGCCTAAACATATCACATGGGAAATTTGAAGTGCGTTTGATGGCTAGTTCCCAAGTTACTTGAGGACACTCCACTCGACCGGCTTCAATTAGCTTCAATGGCTATTCATAATTAATGCCATAAACCGGAAAGAGAGGGAAACAGCAAATAATCATAATAAAAATTGATCAAGCACACAAACAAATGCACAGCACAGCATAGCACACACACACACATAGTTCATGAACTCAATTTTTAATAATAATTTCCAAATGATTTTTTATTTCACATTATTAGTTGCGTGGTAGTTCAGATCGAGTTCGAGTTCTCGGGTTCTCGGGTTCAGATCGCCGATCTCCACCCACAAGCTTTTAATTGTTCGATTTTCATTTCGATTCGTCTCGTTTCGTTTCGGTTTCGATTCGTTCGTCGCATTTTTCTGTGTTATAGACACCATATACCATATATATATTGTGCGATACGATGTGGATGGGATGGATATTTCGGTTTCTGCCGCTGCCTCTGCCTCTGCTGCTTCTGTTTTAATTTCCGTGCTGACAAATTAATTTAATTATATTAACATATCTTTCCAGCGATCGAACGATTGAACTGACTGAAATATTTTTCGTCGCATATCGTATGTGTGTATGTATATTGTATCTGCGTTGTGTGTGGGTGGTTGAATTCGGTCTGTGATTCTTGGTATAACCCCTTTTTTCCCGGGGTCTCTGACTCATTAGCTAGCTGGCGAGTAAATTGCACTTAAAACGCTAAAAATTATACGACACACGCCGCCCAGATCTCAATCTATATATTCTGGTAGCCGTATAAAGAGTGTATCTCTACTTTGGTACATTATATATCATATCTGGGGGTATCTTCCTGAAGGGCTTAAGAGACAACGCGACAACCCTTGGGCTGCTCATTTTCGATTTTCGGCATATGCAAATGCCCAGAATGAGCGCCATCTTTGAAAATTAAACTTTATAAACTATCAATGCTCGTCGTCCCCGGTATAATTCGTATTTCGTATTTCGTACTTTATATCCGTATCTGCATCTGTGATGGTGCCGGATGGTGGTGGTGACTACCCTATAAACCGGTTTCAATTCGATTAAAAACGGAACCCAAACTCGATTTTCTCTCATCTTTTTTTACTATTCTATTTTTTTTTTAAGTCAGCAAATGCATTTGGCAATTAGTTTGGTTTTGTTGTCTTTTCGTTTTCCACTCTTTGTATATTTCTAGTTTGGATCAGCACAAAAATCAAATCAATGACAAAAAACCTCATCTTTCGTTTAGTTTTTTGGGTTTTTCGGATTTCGGTAATTGTAGAAGCTTTAAAAAAAAAAATCTCTGTTCGATGTTAATGGGTCAAGTTTATAGATTGCATTACGGAAATTAATTTTGCTCTTTTTAACTGGTGGTTCTTCTTTGGGTTTCTTGTTCTTGCTCTTGTTTTTTTATTACTACTCTGGTTTTTTTGTGATCGTTTTTGTTTCGGTGCCACCGCTCTATATATTTAATGACAAAACTTTGTGTTAATCAAGCACATTTTTTATTGTTTTTGTTGTTGCCTTTTCGATTTCGATTTGTGTCAATTTTTTCGCGCGCGCTCTCTGTTCTTGAAATGTAAATAAATAAATAAGAGAAATACTATAAAAAAAGTATTTCATCAACTCATTTGGACAGCTGTAGACTGTAGTCTGTCTGCGGTTTGTTTAATTTACTTAATAAACTTCTATTTTTGGTTAGCAAATTGAAACAAAACAAAACAAAAAATGTTGAATAACCTTTTTATTCGTATTCCGTAGTGAAATGGTATTTATGGATCGAGTTCTAATTTTGTTTTGAGCTCTCATACGAAAAAAACCTCATATGCGAAGGCATGACGGAACCTTTCAAATATTGATTCATTGATTACAATCGATCATTCGACGGACGGGGTCTTGAAAGTTTTGGGCTCTTCGAAGCTTTTGAAATGAATAAAACCATCAAATGATCGTTAGGAAAGTCAGGGGCGTTATTTATATATAAGTTTTTGGGGAATCTTTGGGTTATCTAAAATCAACGAACTTGCTAAATGATAAATTATTAAAAAATATTTAAACCCCCTTGATAAAATCCTGCGTACTCCCCTGTATTTCGACAATCCTAACGAGTTCTGCGGCTTCTCATAATATTTTTTTGTTGTGGTTCTTGGGAAAAAGTCAATGCTTATTTTAGTTTTATTGATTGCAGTTTGCAGAGAAAAAAACGCCATTCACCGACGGCAAATGTCTAGTTTTTCCGGGAACTTTTCCTTCGCTTTTCAGGATCAATCGAAGAAGAGACTCCAATTAAAAATTTACCCGGCTGTCGACGCAACCTAATTAACTTGCCAAACCATATAGAGAGTGTGCATTTGTCTATAAATATAGAAATATTCGCAAAAATATATATATATATTCGAGTTGATATTTCCATGTCTGGTCGTCTGGCAGTATTTTCTTTTTCCCTCATTTTTCTCTAATGTTATTTTGCCGCCTTATTTGTTCGGAGTCTGGCATTTGGCCAGCGAAATTCTTAGCCTCGTCTGGGCCACCCCGCCTACCGATTTTCCACGCCCCCCTTTAGCATTATCTCTCCTGTCTGTCTGTCTGGCCGATCTTCTTCGTCTGGCTTTAACTTTTTCGGTTCACTAAAAAAAAACTAACAATTATTCAAGCAATAAATTGTTCACTTATTATTTGCTTGTTGCACTTTGCATTTTTATTTCTTCCTTTTGTGTAAACAAATTTGTGTGTTCAGAAATCAATAATAGCGGTGAAAAAAATATAAATAAATTAACAACAAGAAATTAGACAACAATAACAAAAGGGGGGCGGTGGGCAGGGGGGGTGTGGCAGCAACAATAAAAACACATTTGCCATAGACACGCAAACTCAATTAGTTAACTTAAGTTAAGTTAAGCAGTTGGCGGGGCAAAAATATGGGGGCTGCTGGGGGGTTAAAGTGGGTGGTTGGGCGGCTGGGCGCTCAAGGGTTATTGTTGTCAATCGTGGGAGTTTTGAAGCGAATGCAACGAATATTCTATGATATTTATTATTTTCTTTTCATTATTGTTTTCTAATAAAATCGGTTTTTTTTTGTATTTTTCTTTAAAATTCACTTGAAACTTTTCACTTGAAAATCCAAAAACATATTTATTTCATTCATATGAAATATGAAATTTATTTATCACACTTTTTGTGGCCGTTTTTTTGGGTGAATCAAATTCATTTCATTCATATAAACTTTAGCCAAAACAACAAGGAATCAAATTAAAAACCGCATATAAGAGGTGTAATTTCAACTTATTGTTGAGTAAACTTTTAGAACCCGAGATATATTGAAGATAAACAAAGGATAAAATAACAAAAACAAAAGACGTTGGGATAAGAAACATTTTATAAGAACCCATTCACAAAAAAAGATATATTATTTTATAAGAACAGAAAATTATAGGGTCCATTTCGAATTATTTTCCCTTTAAAAGCACTTGATATCACAGGTGTATTTTCACCTCTCACATTTAAAACACCTAATTTTCCTAATTTTCGCTGACTTTTTTCTTACCTGTTGCCAAAACTGTGCCAATAAATAAATTTGCTCCTTTTTGAAAAACCAATCGTTGATTGATTGAACAGCCGTCAGATCCATATCGGCTGTCCCAGCGGCTTGTGGCAATGTTGGCTGCATTCGTGGGCTTTCTGGGGTTAATTCAATTGCTCAGTCAGTTTGGTTTTCCACGGTTTTGGTTTTCGGGTTTTTAGTTGTGTTGTTTTTTTTTTCGCTCTTCAGTTTTTGGATTCTACCAATTTGGGGCTAATAAGGCCTGGCATTATATAGGTTCTTTTCTTTGTTTTTGTTAGTTGTTATTATATTGATTTCTATGTTTTTAGGTTTTAGTCATCACATTTACACCTTAAGTATTCTATGTTTTCAGTTACGTGCTCAAAAAAATTCATAAATAAGCCAATTTCTGTGTGTTAATATTTTATTAATTTAATTATTTTCACTTTCAAGTTTCGAATCAAATAAATTCTGGTATTTATTTTTTAGAAAAGGGGCTTGTTGTTGTAGTTGTGTGGGGGGATTGTTGTAGTTGTAGTTGTTGGCGAATGGTGAGGGTTTGATGTTGTTGTTGTTTTGGTTGTTGTGTGTGCTTGATTTTTTATTATGATTTTTCAAGCCATTATTATTATTATTATTATGTTGTTGTTGCTTGCTGGCTTTGGCTTATTTTGCACATGTTTGCTGTCGTTGTTGTTGCTGTGGCTCTTGTTGTTGCTGCTCTTGTTGTTGCTTACACTTGACACTCATACACGCGCACATATTTTTATGTCAGCGAACAGAAATACACTTGAAAAAAATAATAAACAGTTTCGCTTTCTAGTCCTTTTGTGTGCTTCGTTTTGTTTTTGTTTGGTTTTTTTGGCTTTGATCTCTTTACCGTTTCTTCTTCTTCATCGATTTACAGGTAATTAATGCACTTGCATTTCTATTTTGTTGTGATTGTGTGGAGTAGTGGGTGGTTTGGATTCTTCTGCCCGCACACACACACACACACACGCGCGTACACACACAGCAGCAGGTAGATCGAATCGAACGAGCGAGAGAGAGAGGGGGGCTGGCACACGCACTCACACACCCGCGCCGCGGCTACGAAGAAGAAGAAGAGGCAGCAGAAGAATGCGACTGCAGAAAGCACTGCCTTCTAGCGGGGCAGTGGAGAATCGGAGTCCGAGTCCCAAGTCTTCTTCCGAAAGTCTCGATTTCTTTCGAACGGGGCGACGTTAGCCAGGCGACGTTGCCAGTCACGAATGCTGTTGATGACTGAACAAATCGAACCCTAACGAAGCGCCGACAACCCTCTGCCTTCGCCGGCTGCGGCGTCGGCGGCGGCAGCGGCAGCGGGCGCCACGGCACACACACGCTCTCGCTCGCGCTCTCACGCGCTCCCGCTCTCGCGGGAATCTCACTCAATTTTCCTGCACTGCTTTTGATTTCTTTCAATAGCTTTTTGATTTTCTCGCTTTTTTTCTCCATTCGTCTCCCCTTTTTTTGCCTTTATTTACCTTTTTTTTCCTACTCTTATTTTGAGCATTTTTCTGCGCCGCCGCATGTCAGTTGCATGTATTGAAATTCATTCATTCACAGACACTTGGGCCCTGTCGCCCTCTCGCTCGCACGCCGCCTTTCTTATTGGAAACGAACGGACCAGCCGCTCTCCCTCTCCCTTCGCATTGTTGTTGCTGCTTATTGAGCGCAGGATTGAGTGCAACGGCGGCAGCGACGCCGGCAGAGGGATTTCGGTTGCGGATTTTTCAAAACTTATTCTTATTTTGGTTTTTGAGTGGGTGTGGAAAAAGGGGGTTTTACCTGAAATTAATATAAATAATTAATTATAATTAATATAAAATTTACTGTACAATTTATATGGTTTCGAAAAATATCCCTTTATTCAAGAAAAGATAGCCTTGTCAGTTTTTTACATAATTTTGCGATGCACCTTAAACCGAAATCCAAACTTAATTCCCATGACTGCCTCTCTGTTTGGCTCCTCAGAAATCCATGGAATATTTAATGGGCGTGTAACCCCCACTCAGCCTGCAGGTATTTTGTGTTTTTTATTCCGCACACCCCTGGAATTCGGCTGTCCCGTTGCGGGATTTTCGCATAAAGAAAAGTTCAAATTGTATCGAAGCGCCAAGTGCAATGCAGACGCCCCCCTTGGATTTTCCCGCCCCTATTTTTCCTCTTAACCCATGATTCTGAAAGGGGGAGGGGAGGATTTTCCAAGGGGTTATGGCTTACACCTAAACTGAGACTCAGAACCCAAGTCGCAGTCGCAGATGCGTTGCTGCAGTCTGAGAGGAAAATCGGTTGAAAGGCGGGAGGAAAATGGGGGGGGGATATTGGGGGCTTGGATCTGCTCGGGGACTTTGTCGTCGGCTGGCAAATAACGAAAATAACGGGAGAGCCGAGAGAAAGGGCAGCGCCACCTACACGAAGACAAAAAACGATGCTCGGTTCCGTCGTAGCCGACGAAAAATGTACTCACCCCAAAAAAAATATTACTCATTTCTTTTTTACCCCAAAGGTAAGAGTTTTTGGCCACATATTATTGGAACAACCAATAGGTATTTTTCTATAATTTTTTTATACTTCATAAAAAATCTTAGAACTTAAAAATCAGCACAACATTTGTTTATATTTAGAACAAATTAAGTTAAAAAATAAAGTAAGGTCAACATCTTTGAATTTAAAATGAACATGTACAAAAACCTTAAAAAAATTTACAAAATAATTTATATGTATTATATTTTCTTCTTAAATTTCTAACCATATACCAAAAAATATATATTTATTTTTTTTATTAATAAAAATAATTTATAAGCTAATCCAAACGAAATTCCTTAACCTACCATCTGTAACTATGCATTTACAATTATTTTTATATGGTCCCTACACTGAATTCAAAGATAGAAAGTTTCTTTTAAATCTCTTTAAACTTGTAAATATAAAGATTCCTCCATTTAATCAAAACATAAATAAAATGCATTTTAAGCCCCTCAAAATCCTCATAAAAAACAAGTGTCTCCGCCAACCAGCCAAATTCCAACTAGATTAAACTAAGCGAACGACTCAATCGGAAAACTCTCAAGATTTTCACTCACTCAGTCTCTCATTTGAGTCGCAAATGCAAGGGGTTCGAACTCGTTATCGAAACATTTTCGAACTTGTTTGTTTGAAGAATTCCCATTCATTAAATGTTCGATTGTGTTTTTTTACTGATCAGTTATTTTAAGGATATATTTACAATGTCTTATAGCTTATATTTTCAATCGATTATTTACATTTTTACCCTGATCGAATTAATATTATTGGGCTCTATTTTTTGGTTATGGTTAGGTAAAATAAAAATGTCCAAAAATATATATTTACTTTAACATTTTTTTATTTTTATTGTATAAAATATATTTAATCCGAATAAATGCATAAAAACCCGAAGTTATCCTTAACCCTCGATCGCTCGATTAACCCGCCATAGAAAATAACTCACTCAAGCGCCAAAACGAAAAAAAGCACTCGGATGACAGGCGCTCTCAATTTTCGATAATTCGCATAATAAAAACCAAACCAAATCGCAGGCACACACACACACACAGACAAGTGTCACATAAAAAGTCGAAGAAGAAGCGCGGCGGCAGCGACGCCGACGACCGAGGCAGCGGCTGGTGGCAGAGGGCAAAAGACAGACAAAAAAGAAGAAAAAAGCGAGGCGAACGATTTAAGCCCCGCCCCATTTGATTGGCGAGCAAAAAGAAAAGCAGAAAAGTAGACGACGACAACGTCAATGGACAACACACACACACGTGAACATGCGACATGTGTGCATGTGTGTGTTTGACGTCGCTGCTACCTGCGCAGCGGCAGAGGAGCATCCAATATCTGTTGCTCTCGCAAAAACTTAAAAACATCGACAAAAAATTATGATAATCCCAAGAAAAAAACGTGGCTTAGGAAAGATACAAAAACAAAATAAATTTAAAAATGCCACTACTAAAATTCTTGTTTTATTGAGATCTTAAAGTTTATATAGACCATAATAAAATACTAAAAACATAAATCAAATAAATTTTTTATGTAAAAATATAAATATAATTATAAACAATATATGGCAATTAATTTATTTAAAATCTAGCAAAAAAGTAGTTTAAACAAATGTTAAGGAACTTTAAAATTGCGTTTCTGAAAATAAATAAAGTCTACCGTATAAGTTTAGAAAACAATCTAAAACTTAAATGTAGATTAAAAGCAAAATTCAGCAAACACCCAAAAAACGTTATCAAAATTTGTTTAACATATTAAAATGTGAAAATTAACTTCTAGATTTAACACCAAAGCGTACCACTAAAATGTAGATAACAAAAAATCATAAACTTATTAAAAATGTTGTTTAGTATTTAAAAATGTAAAACAATTAAATAAACTAAAGACAGAAATTAATATTCAATAAACATTAAAAAAAAGTTTTGAAAAAACGGTTTGAAAAACATAGTCTTTTTTTTAGAATAGGAAAAAAGATAACAATAAAGTAAATATAAACTCAAGAAGGGCTTAAAACAACTTTTAAATTAATAAGAAATATCAAAAAAAAAGTACGAGTATAAAAAATTCAATATTAACCATATTAGCCAAAAAGGTATTTAATTTATCAATAGTTTTTTTGAAGGTTAAAATTAAGGGCCAATACTAATGGTAAAAAATCAAGGAAAGGCGGTGATAGAACAGGAGAGAGACACAACAACTTCCACGCTCCATCTCGCTCGCACCAAACGCCATTGAATGTCTCTTCTTTATATTTCTACTTTTTTTTCTACTTTTTTTTCGAACAGCTTTTGGCTTTGATTTTTCTTCGGCTTTCAAGTTTACTTTTCGCCCTCTCTCGCTCGCACGCACTGCCCCCCCGCTCTCACTCTCGCTCGCACCAGAAACTCACTCCACCGCACTCTCTCTCTCACTCATTTTCGCACTCACACTCACTCACTCTCTTTTGAGGCGCGCGCAAGCGCTCTCTCGTCGTCGGCTTTTAAAAATATTTGAGTGATATTTTTTGCTGTTGCTTTACTTTTATTATTTTTGTTTTATTTCTTTTTGCGTCGACTGCGCTGCCGACTGCGGCAATGGTGAGTGCATGTGTGCAAGGGAGTGAGCGATATGCAGGTGCCGATGATGCTTTGCCTCTCCATCTCGCTCCCTCTCTCTCATTTGCTCTCGCTCGTTCGTTCGCATTCATTGTTGTTGTTGTTGTCGCTGATTGAAATTATGATTTTTTATTATTAGTTGTGCGTGTGTGTGAGTGTGTGTATGTGTGTGTGTTGGTCTAACTGTTAAAGTGTCATATTAGCGTTGTTTTTGGTTGGCTGATTCGACATGTGCCTCGCGTGTGTGTGTGCGTCGCAAATTGATTTGATTTGTTTTGACTTTTTTCGGGTTTCTTGGGCAACAAATGAATCAATTCGGTTTTG